GTAAAACTACATGTCATAGTATCTATATTTTAAAGACTTTTTCTTCTTTTTTTTTTTTAGTTATTGGTAGAGTTTTCCAAGGCCATAATCACCACTGCCTTTCCTCTAACTAGCTCTCTTGTAAGAAACCATTCAAAACACAAACCAACCATAATACTTATAGCATTATTTCACGAAAACAATCTTGTAACTAGATTAGCAACTATATCCACATACAAAGCATCAACTAGAAAATGGACACAATAGTAAAAATAGACTCAATCCAACTAAACTAACAAATTTGCATCAAATAGACCAATATACAGTGAGGGTGAAGGCAGTAAACATAAAAGAAAATGGAGCTTTGTTCATGGTAATTACAACATCCATAAAAAAAAAAAAAAACAAAAAAGGCTACCTTTGCTCTCCTTTGTCCCTTCAAAGAAATGTTTCCTTTCTTTTTTTTTTTTTTTTTAAGTCTCCTCTTCTTTTTTCCTTCGATAACTTCCTACTCCTTTTCAGTAATCTCGTTTCTTTTTTTTTCTTTTTCCTTCTCCTTCCCATCTTCTATATTCGACTTGGCTTTTATATTTTTTAGTTGTTTCTTTCCTTCTTTCTTTTTTTTTTACATCTTTCTTTCTTTTCTCGAGCCCCTCTTTTCTTCTCTTTCTTTGTTAGACCCCCACCTTCAGCTTTTCAAGAGTCAATCCCCTCCAAAAAAATATCTCATTTTGGTAAATATAGACCCTTGGATAAAATATCATCCAAAGGTCAAAGTTTTTTTTTTTTTCAAGGAACCTCCTTTAGCTATTCGATCAAGATCAATGAGAGATCCAATGCTTCACATTATTCACTAAAAATGTTAGATTTTTATAGCCTCTAAACCCATAGAAAGACCATTTTACGGCTAATACAAAGTTTTTGGTTTTTAGGCCATTATCTTAGAAATCAATGTTTCCATGCTCATTTTTTAGACTTTAAAAAATAAAAAATCATGAAATATTATAAAATTGAGATTTGAAAAATTTTATAAAAATCTGAGCTTAAGAAGATCAAATTACAAAAATACTCTTATATAGTATTTTCGTAATTTCACATTTTTTTAGAGTACTGCTGTATTTTCAAATGCATCAAAAATCATTAAATATTATGAAATTAAGATGGAGAGTTTCATGAAAATCCAAACTCGAAAGACCAAATTACGAAAATACCCTTGTAAGGGTATTTCGATAATTTCACATTTTTCAGGATACGGCTATGATTTCAAATGCACCAAAAATAAAAAAATATTATAAAATTAAGATCTAAAAATTTTCATGAAAATCTAAGCTTGAGAAGGCCAAATTACGAAATACCCCTAAAGGGCATTTTAGTACTTTTGTACTTCTTCTAGTGCAATAAAAATTTTATGTTTTAAAAATCATCAAATTTAATTTTAAATCACGTTAATTTCAAATAGGTTGTGAACTTTGAGGATTGACCCTGATTCTATTCATTTTAAATAAGTTTTGTGTAATTTTGACTTTAGTTGACTTTGGGATTTGCTTATTTCATTTATTATTCATTTCTTATGTATCCATGTGAAAATGTATTATCCTTATAAATCTCATGCAAAAGAGTTTGACAGTAATCATACAGGTCTTTTTTAAATTATTTATTAAGCCTAAATAACAATGCATTTTATGGGCTCTTTAAGGGGTCTTTTTACGGGTTTCAAATGGACTTTGTTCAATCACGCTAAAATGTTTCAGATAAATTCTATGTCTACACATATGTATCTTTATCTATATGCATAGGAAATATTTCGTTGAATAAAAACATTTATGTAGTGGATGGATAGATGTCAATAAAGAAAAGTTAGTAAAAAAAGAACTTTAAAGAATGAAAAGAAAAAAGATCAAATTATATTAAAGGTCCCTATATTTTATAAAAATTTAGTATTTACTCTCTATATTATAATTCATACTAATTTAGTTATCATATTATTTTGATTTAATAATTTTAGTTCAATTACTAATTCCATCAATTTTTTGTCATTAAAAATATTAACATGTCTTTTGACTTAATGACGTGGGCATTGACTTTATTGACATAGCATCAACTTTGCCAATGTTACTTTAACTTGCTAAAGTGGTAATCGGGATGGATGAAATCAGTTATTAAATTATGTAAATGGTCTTTATACTTATTCAAAATTTTAAATTTAATCCTTATATTTGTATGAAAATTTGAAATTTAGTCTTTCTAATATAAAAAATATTTTTAATTTTTAAGAAATTTTTATTTTTTAAAATATTAAATTTTAAAAATTACAAACAATATTATCTCATAATATTCTGTCATAATATTGAAAAACCTATCATAATATTCTATCATAATTTTCATATATTATCACTAAATCTATGAAACTTTTTAGTTATCCATGTGAAATGTTATTACTAATTCCATCACTATTTCTTGTTACATTCATCATAAAATATAAAATCTGTTACTAATTTTATTATATTTTTTTTATCACAATTATAGTATATTGTGGCCATACAAAAAAAATTACACAAATCTATTAAAAATCTATCATAAATTTGTCAATATTGATACAAATCTCTCACTATCTAATTTTAACAAAATTATTATTTTTTATTAATTTATTAAATGAATTAGAGTTATAATTTCTTCCCACAAGATTAAAATTATCCATCAAATGTATTTCTATTCCTTCAAATTAAGCCATATTTAAATTATTTTTACAATTAAATCTAGGTACAAGATTCTAAATGCAATAAAGTAATTTACTAAACTTAATATGTATTTGTTTTTAAATTAATCTTGTTATTTAATTTAACATAATTATTTAGATAAGTTTTTTTGTGAAGATCCAATAAAATTAAAAGTTCTCATTATAATACATGATATTGATATTTCAATTTATCAAATAAATCATTTCCTCATTTTGTTTTGTTAGGATTTAAAATTCATCTTTCAAATAGATAGAATGATTTAAATCTCTTATTTTGTTTGATTGGATGGAATGATTATATCTTTCATGGTCTATTTGAAATTCATTATAAATGCAACTCCATTTAATAATTTGGTTTATTATAAATTTTGTTGTATGATTTATTTAAATTAATAAAAATAATATTAACTTTGATATATTAATTTAAATTATTAATATTATAATTGATTAAAATAAATGATAATCATATTATTATTAATTTGATATTATTAATAATTAATTATATATAATAAAAATTAATATATTTATAAAAATATTTTTATATTAAAAGGACTAAAATACTTTTAAATTTTAATACTTAAAAAAAATAAAAAATTCAAAAAAAATTTATATTAGATAGATTAAATTTCAAATTTCGTACAAGTATATAAAGACTAAATTTCAAATTTGATATGAGTATAGAAATTATTTATATAATTTAGCAACTGATTTTATTTATCCAAATTATCACACCAGCAAGCCAACATCACATCAGCAAAATCAACGCTCATGTCATCAAGTTAATAACCACATCAACATTTTTAATAATAAAAAATTAATGTAGTTAGTGATTAGATTAATATTATTAAATTAAAATAATACAAGAACTAAACTTATATGAATTATAATACATGTACTAAATTCTAAATTTTCATAAAATATAAGAACCTTTGATATAATTTAACTAAGAAAATAATTGGATGGATAGAGATGATATAAAGATAACACATAAACCAATGTATTTGGAGGTTTTAAGAGAGTTGTTTCCAACTAACAAAAAATAATATAAAAGCCAAAGTGTCTCTACCAAAATTTAACACTCTTAATCAAATTACAAACATATCTTGATGCCTAAAACACTCTTATTTATAATAGCAAGGAGTTCAAGGTTCTTAATATTTATTACATTAAATTAAATAAAAAGTAAAAATGAAAATAATTTATGGAATACAATAAAAACTATTAATTTTTTGGAGAATAAAAACTATCATTTAATATTTTAATAAAATTCTTCATCCATGTATATTAGGTATGAATATTAGAATGCACTAATTATAAGATATGGAAATATATTCATGAATAATTAGCTTTTTATTTATTTATTTATTTTATTTGTATTATTAATTAAATTAATTGTAACTTGTTCATATAAGATAAAAATAATAGATATTTAAAAGGGAGTAAGTACAATTAATTTAACCTAACTAATTATCTTTTCCCAAGCTAACTAATTATTTTTTTAAGTAATAAAACTGTTTTATATAAATAAAATGCATTTATTAAAGGACATATGTCTTTTTTTAATTTGTTCACATGTAAATTGTAAATTATCCACGTAAGATTTTTTTTTTTTTTACCAAAATTTTTTACTTACATATAATAATAATAATAATAATAATAATAATAATAATAATAAAGAAATAAATAAACATATGTTTATTTTTTAGTGACAACCAACGACGGCTTTATAAACAAAATAAAATTGAAGGAAAAGATACCAAACAAAAGAAAGAAGTAAAATACGAAAATATCCATGTGCTATATATTTTCATCAGTTTGGTATTATATACTTTCATCATGTATTTTGATACTCTAATCTAATTTTATTAGTCAACTTACTTAAGTGACACTAATATCCAATAAAATCATAAAACGTGATAGAAATATTCAATTATTATCACATCATCTATTTTTCATGTCAACATCTAAATAAAAAAATCATAAATTATTTTTTAAAAAATTATTAATTCAAATTTAAAAAAAAAAAGAAAATAATCAAGAATAGACAAAAAAATAAAATTTTTGTTGATGTGGCAATGATTAATGTGGTGATAATTGAATATTTATGACACGTGGTATGATTTTATCGAGTGTTTTCACGTATCAAAATGTTTGACGGAATAAAAATTAAAGTATCAAAATGATATTTTTATTTTTTTACGGACCAAATTAACAGAAGATGTATAATAAGGGGTATTTTAAATATTAACCCCAAAAAAATAGGAGATACAGAAACGGTGACGGAGAATGAGACAGAGATGGAAAAAACAGAGAAAGATCAGTTCAGTCAAGCACTCACTGCCCACCACAATACCATCCATGAAACTTTCCAGGTTTTCTTTTTTTCTTTTCTTCACATGTATGAACTTCATTTGGGCGCTTTCTGTGCCTATGTTGGACTGTTTTTGGGTTATTGTACGAAGATGTTGGATCAAACTCCTTCCTTTTCTTTGGAGAAAGTGACCTGGACTGAGGTTATCCGGATTGTTGAACAACTCTCCAAGCAAGCTACTATTGGTATTTCCAATTTCCTTTTTTCACTTGGGTAGTGGGCTTTCTTTTTTTTTTTTTTCCCCTAATAAGATAGGTAAATTATTAACGCCACAAAACAAATTTGAATTTATATGCGAGTTTTTGGACAATTTCGCTTCTTTTTTCTGCTTGTTTAGAAGCAAAGGTTTTAGATTCACATGTGCATTGAAATTGCATTGCACCGTATTTGATATTTGAATTATATGTTTCATTAATCAAGGATTTGGAAATTTCTTTTATGGAGATTTTATTAATGATTTTATAGGCTTTAAGTTCGAGCTAGCAATTTTGGGATGTTTTTTGGTCTAACATCATACTATTTTATTTCCAAGATTCTCTTTTGTTTCATACTAAAAGGAATGGATTACTTTCTTTTTTTTTACCTATAATTCTGTGCGGTATTTTGGATTCAGCGAGTTCAGTGATTATTGCTTCTTCTGTATGTTTAACAGCTGGAATGCTTTGGAATGGGCAAGCACCTGAAGCTAAACAACTTGGGGAGAACATAACATCATATTTCAATGTGCTAAAAGGTTTCCATTTGCTCTCCCATCGAAGCACTGTTGGCGCTGGCCCAACTCTCTCTTCAAGAATCCATGAATCCGTGAAACAGGTTGTTGATTGCAGTTTTAGGTTAATGAAGGAATCTGTCTTGTTATATTGTAAATAGATTCTCTTTTTCTCAGAACTACTTGATAATGCACCCCATCCAACCTTAAAAATGAATTCCCATTCATGTAAGCGTTAAAATCTAATGTGAAGAGGTAAAGGGTCATACTTTTTTTTTGGCCGAAGAAAATGGGTTAGTTTAGTTGTATGTAAGTAACACTTAATCTGGCAGTTGATTTCTTTCTTCTTTTTTTTTTTTTTTTCTTTAGAGGTTGATTTCTTAATCTTTAGTGAACTTTGAGGATGTAAACAGTAGTGATAATTAGCTAGTGTTTTGTACAGGGATGTTGAAAGTATATTACACTTAAGAATCAGTACTGAAATGATACATTTTTCCGTAGCGATAAAGGGTGACTAGTCTTTTATAAGGGTATAGCCCCCTTCTTTTAAACCATACAGATATTTAAGCACTTATCCAATTAAATTGTTTCAAGCAATGCTTTAATGTATTGGATAATTGTTTGTTCTTTTCTCTTGTACTGAGTTTGTGTTATTAATTTTGAACCTTGATAAATAATATTTATCTGCTTGTCAATGGCGTTGATGAATTGTTTATGCAAGTGTGCATGTTGTTCATGCATGCCCTAACTTGTGTTTTTGTTTGTGCAGTAAGTATCCCGCAAAAATTATTTAGCAGTCTCCTTTCTTAGTTTTAATAGTTCATTAGGGAATATGATTGCAGTCGCACAAAAGAAGAAACTTAAATTTAGAATTAACTAATGTATAATTTCATGTGCAAGAATACATGCTAACAAGGCTGGGCAATTTTTACGTCGAGAGTTGATTCTATGTTCTCGAGGCTCTTTTGCATCCATTTCCTTTCTTTATGACCAAAAATTGAATATGTTCATCCAAATGATTAATTTTAATTTTGTTTTGCATCAATACACACAAAAATGCTTATATTTAGTGTTAGCATGATCTCACTATAAGGACAAAAAACTTTCAATGCCTCAGTTTGTTGGAGCAGTATGGGAGGCATGTTCTGCTCTTAAGAAGGACCCTGCGACAAATGTGATAGCGATTGGGTGTGCAATAACGCAGGTAGCAGTTTCTATGAAGGATGCTCTTCGACAGGTCAAGGAGCTCAAGCCTGCTTGCTCTGACCTCAGAGATGAAGCCTCTGATGACACTCCTACCAAAGCTCAAAGCAGGCCTGAAGATGATGACTTAAGCGAGGATGATCTAGCAACCGACTCATCGCCTGAAGAAATGAAAGTTGCTCAACTAGCTCAAGGGGTTGTATCCGAGACACTTGTGACCATAAAAGGAACTTAACTGCACCATCGCTGGTTTCTTAAGCTAGAAACTCCATATGACACTAGTAAATTTGTGGATTCTCTAGAGGAATTATTGAAGATATGTCAAGGAATGGGAGCACAGATTGATGATACTGGAGCCTGTCTTTACTCCCCTCAAAGAGATTGCTGCAATAAAGCTGGCTTTGGGGAAAATATCAAATAGCATTAATGAAGTACAGCAAGAGATGGAAAGTTTTCAAACATCGTCTGGGTCCTTTGTTTAGGCTTGCAATGACTAGAGTGACAACCGTGTTAGAACAAATGGAATCTGAACTGGATCGCTCCAGCACAACAGAGTCAGCAAGTAAAATGCAGAACGTTGCTGTCATTAATTAAGACATATATATTTCTACAATGATTATACAGATTCAGTACAAAGAATTTACTGGTTGATCTTACACCCAGTCGTTATGTCTCATTTTTTTTAACAATATACAAAACGAGCATGCTTGAAATGCACTGGCCGCTGCGAAAATCCCCACTGAAGTTTTGGATAGTGAAGTGATCACCGTCCGATAAGCTTAACAACCCATGCACCACCCAAGTAAAGACCCAAAAGTGGCGCCGCCAGAAGCACCTGAGTAAGAGGATCTGTTGATGGTGTAAGTATAGCTGCTACAATAACCGCACCAACCACTACATATCTCCAAATGGAAAGCATCTGGTCCCCTGACACAAGACCAAGTTGTCCAAGAAGAAATTGTATAACAGGAACCTGCAGAATAAATTAAATGGAGCCATCTAAGCTTCGATTTAAACGTCTGTGCTCATCATGAGACAGTACCAGTTTCAGTTCCCCTAAAACGTGAATTCAGAAATTGAAACGTTTATCTCACATTGCTAATAGAATCATCAGGCTGAAGTCTTACGAAAGGAAAAAGGAAGAAAGTCAAACTAGTTTTCAATTTTTGGAGAGATGTGAACTTCAGAATTTCAAAATACGGTGGCTAATCTATATATGTTCTTGTGTTACCCCAATAGAAGTAGGAAATACCTGGAAAGACAGGCCTGTGCTGAACATGAGCACTAGAACAAACTCAAAGTACTGATCAATGGACCACAAAGATTCCACAACCCCTTCTGCGTAAGTAACAAAGAAATTTAAGGCTGCTGGAGTTAGAACCGAGTAGGAGAAAGCAATACCAGCATAGAAAAGAATTGAGGAGCCCAATACAATAGGTCCCAGAAACCTTCTCTCTGCTCTTGTTAAACCCGGAAGAACAAAGGCTATAATCTCATACAGAATTATAGGGCTTCCTAGAAGAAGGCCACAATATCCTGACACCTGCAGAACACCATCAACAAAATCAACTGTTATCAAGAGTAGTTTTATATTTTCTTTTTTTCATTTCTTTCTTTGAGCTTGGTCCTTTTTCTTTTTTTTTCCATTTTTGTTCTTTTGTATGTTTTAGATGCAAGGTAATGAGCAGCTAGCATTTTATCTAATCAAAGTTGAAAATATTAATACATAGTGTGAAGCTGCAGGCTAAAGTTAATCAGGGAGGATAGAATCAAAAGTATAGTTGGAATGTCACATTCTTGTAGTTATAACACTATGCAGCAAAAGTAGCTCTTACATAATTTAATCCAGAACTTTTAGGTCATGTTTGGTATATAGGATGATGGATGAGATAGTATAATAATCATTTTATATTATGTTTGGTTTATATCTAATTGAAAGTGATAGGATCCTCTTGGTACATGTGATTCAATCCTCCCAAAGTGAAGTAGATTATTTTTAATCCATGGGATTAAACTTAAGTGTCTTATTATACCCTTAAAAATTACATCAATAATTTAAGTTGTATAAACTTTAAGGAAGGATAATTTTGACCAATAAATAAATTATCCTATCTTAATGCTTGCAGACATCAAACATAAGATGACATTATTTAATCTAATCATATTCATAATATTATCTTATCTTATTATAATTTTGTGTATCAAACATGACCTTAAAGCTTTCCTTAATATGGTAGCACATCATTCCAAAGGTATCTGCTATGGTTGGTTTCAAAAATAAATAATAAACAAATAAAATAAACGTGAAATAAAGCAAGAGAAAAGTTAGTCCTCATTCCATGTTAAGTCCATTATTATAAAAACAGATAAACTGTTGCAACCAATAACTAGTATTCATATCCTGAAAACAAAAAGATTTCATTCAATCTAACCTTTAAAGTGGTGAAGAAAAACTCGCCAGGAGCTAGTTGCAGAAATCGTACACCCTGCGCTTTAACAGGAGCTTCAAGAAACATTATCAGTTCTTTTGAAAAAGCAAAGCATCCCAACATAGCAGCTCCAACAGCCAACACTGACACAAATATTCTCTGACGTAGCTCTTCAAGATGATCAAATACAGTCATTTCTTTATCATCTGGGAGGAGATCTTTATTGGGATAAAGAAGATTATAGAGTGCACTTCCTTCAGTATTCTGCTCGAACCTTCGCGGTGTTTCTTCAATTGAGATATTAGCCACATCTATATCATGCATCATAGAAGAGATGTCAGCATTTTAGCTAAAAGCATGTAAATCTATTGCGCTCCTGAATGTACAATTATCGAGAATTAGATTAAGAAAATTATATAATTCCAAAGCAATCCAACAAATGCAGATCACACCTTTCTAGAGATGTGAAATTAAACATTTCAAGAATAAAAGAACTTGCCAATATCTTTGGTCCTACAATGAAACTACTAAAGTTCCCCCTTTTTGTGTTTGCATAGCCATTACTTGTTTTCACAAAACTTTTAACCAGGTAGAAAATGAAACACAATTTGTGCATAAGTTTATCAGTCCAAGGAAGCAAGCCATTTTTGCAAATAGCAAATATGGCCTGGTTTTCTGCAACAGTGAAGAGTCATTACTCCAACAATCCTGCCAAAAAGAAACGTGAGCTCTCATGGCACAAGGACTTAAAAACATCTCTGTGATCTATAGTTCTCTTGAAAATAAGATACTAGCTTGAATGAAACTATCTATTGTTTTTATATCTCAGATCACTAAGCTTGGATTTTGTAGTAGGTAGCCATATATTCTTGGTTGCATAAATCCAGTTATTACCAACTGGCCTTCTGGTAGTATTTCTTAATATGGTATCCAAACCTTGATTGATTATTTTCCTGTCTGCAAAATCCACACAGTGGATCCATTTCCTTTAGTTTTCAACTAGACCTTCATGGTGGTATTTCCCAGATCAGTTATTTGAGATCTATGATGGCCTTATATCGCCTTTTGACCTTTCCCCTCACTGTCGTTTGGTTATTGATTGGATGCCTTTAACACAAAACTTTGATTTGAGTAAAGTATTGTCTGTGAACAACAACTGTACGGCGAGTAGGTTCTTTAAAGAAATTTTTTAGGGAAGAAATGAAGCATAATATTAGAAAGTCCCAAGATATAATCATTCATTTATCCTCTCTGGAATTTGGATCACTAAAGAGCCACCAAACTACGCTCTCTGTTAATGCCACCTCCTCTGCTTCAAGCATCCAATATGATCAATAATATCATAAGAAAGGCCCATCAAAAAGGACTGTGAAGATGACTTGAATTCTTTTCACCACAAAAATAATCCAAATATCTGCCTCTATGACTAGTGTCAATTGTAAGTGCCTTCGGAGCCTAAAAATATTCACAAGTTTAAAGATGTCATAAGCAATCTGCAAATTGCTCGTTGAAACCCATCCTCACCCCAATAATGCCAGAAACATTCAGTTTGTGATCCCTTCCGCTTTTTGATAGAATTGACCACTTAAGCAACTAGAACAAAACGATATCATTAAGTTTTTCGCAACAAAAAATTACAGATGAAAACCTAATGTCCTTTTCTTTTTTTCAAAAAGAAATGTTACCAAATGACTTAAGCTAAAGCAAGTTTATGCTGGTTTAATTAGAATGGTTGGATGCTACTTGGTGTCTGTAGTCCTCTAAGACACTCATGCGAGTTATAACTAAGGCACTAAAGCTTTTCTTGAACTTGTTGGTGGATGTTTATCTTGATGTCATCTTAATTTATAGTAAATCTAAGGAAGAACACTCACTCACTTCTGGAAGTTTTAGATGCAGTCCTTAGAGAGAAACTCTTTATAGACTTGAACAAGTTCTCTTTCTTGTTTTTTGAGGCAGTGTGTTAGGGATTTAATATTATCTATGGCAGATGGATTTTAACTAGATCCAGAAAAAGGGTGTAACAGTAGAGAGTTGCCAGCACCTAAATCAATCAAAGAAATTTGAAGTTATGATGGAGTAGCTTCATTCTATTGGAGTTAAGGAATTTCAGTCCATTATGAGTTCAATCACTAAGTGCTTGAAAACAGATAGCTATGACTGGCCAAATTTTGCAAAAAAGAGATATTGAACAAATTAAGCTTTTGATGATAGAGGTAATTGTGGGAAAACACTTATTTACAGCTGGTTGTAATCTTGTAATCTGTATATTTATATTTGTATCTCTAGAATTAAGTATTTGTATCCCTAGAATTAAGGAAGATTTAGTTTCCTAGTTTAACCCCTAGTTAGTTGTATATAAACCTAAGATTCTTGTATAATTGACAAGAAGCAGTTTTTCAATATACATTCAATTTTCACATGGTATCAGAGCTTTAGGCTCTTCTTGGGAAGAAAAATTTTCAGCCTTCATTGCTGACTTTTTTAGGCCTTCATTGCCGACTTTTTTAGGCCTTCATTGTCGAATCTTGTTTAGGCCTTCATTGCCGAACCCTTTCAAAGAAAGATATCACTATCACCCAATTTGAGGAAATGTTAACTGGGAAAATCACTGGAGTACTACAGATGTTTCAGAAACAAGGAGAATTCAACAGGGAAGAGATTGAAAAGCTGAGAAACTTATTGAAAATCCTTGAAAAGCCTACTATAGTATGTTCTTTGGGTAAAGTTTTTAGTTTAGGTAAAGCTTCCGGTTCTCATGGATTAAATGTCTCGGCTAAGCCTATTACGAGTTCTTGGGTCATTGATTCAGGAGCCACAGACCACATGACACATTCCCCACAAAAGTTTAGTACATATAACCTATGTCCTAGTAATAAGAAAATTGTTGTTGCTGATGGTTCACTTACCACAGTGGCAGGATTAGGAGATGTTCAAGTTAATCCCTCATCTGTTCTCAAAAATGTTCTTCATGTTCCTGGATTGTCTACTAATCTGATATCTATACAAAAACTTACCAGAGATATGAATTGCAAAGTAACTTTTTATCCCTCTTATTGTGAATTTCAGGACCAAAGTTCAGGGAAGATGATTGGACTTGCTAAGGAGAAGGATAGACTATACTATCTTGAGACATCAAATAACACAAGTAGTATCAAAAATAATTTACCTTTGTCATTTCTTTCTGAAAAATCTTCCAATAAAGACAAAATCTGGCTTTATCATTTTCGTCTTAGACATCCTTCTTTTGGAACCTTGAGAAACATGTTTCCTTCTTTGTTCAAAGAATTAAATGTTGAAGATTTTCATTGTGATATTTGCGAATTTGCAAAACATAGACGTGTGTTTTTTCCAATCAGTAACAAAAGAAGTTATACTCCCTTTTACTTGATTCATAGTGACATTTGGGGTCCCTCTACAATTCCTAATATTTTTGGTGCGAGATGATTTGTTTCATTCATAGATGATTGTACTAGGGTCTCTTGGGTTTTTTTACTTAAATCCAAATCAGATGTGAATAGTGTGTTTTTAAGCTTCCAAAACATGATCCAAAATCAATTTGGAGTAAGAATCAAGAGATTTAGGTCTGATAATGCAAGAGACTACTTCAACCAGAGTCTATCCACCTATTTCCAAAAAGAGGGGATTATCCATGAGTCATCTTGTGTTAATACTCCACAGCAGAATGGAATGGCAGAGAGAAAAAACAGTCATTTATTAGCCACAACCCGAGCCTTTCTTTTTCAAGCAAATGTACCTAAATCTTATTGGGGGGAAGCTGTTCTCACTGCCACACACATTATAAATAGGTTACCTTCAAGAGTTTTGGGATTTAAAACTCCTATAGAACTACTCTCACAATTTTATCCCAACCTCAATACCACAAACAATCTCACACCTAGGATATTTGGTTGTACATCATTTGTTCATGTTCACAGTCATAACAGGGGAAAGTTGGATCCAAGAGCGATTAAGTGTATTTTTGTGGGGTATTCTTCAACTCAAAAAGGATATAAGTGCTATCATCCTCCTACCAAAAAATTTTATGTGTCTACAGATGTCACTTTTGAAGAAAATAAACCATTTTTTACTCCACGTTATCTTCAAGGGGAGACTTCATTCATAGAAGATAAGGATAAAGACTTCTTTTTGCTTGATTTGCCCCCTTCTTCACCATTTACACCCATTAATTCTTATGAGTCGAAACATGTTTCTGCTGAGCCCAAGTCAAACATTGAATTTAAATTTGAACCCATTCCAAATACGAAAGATGTGACAAAGGGTAATATTGTTCTTGATTCTATGAAGGAATTACAAGGGTACTCAAAAAGGAAAGTTTCAGATCCTGAACCAGTGCCAGTCCAAGAACCAGATCCTAACTCTGGAAATGAGGTAACTACAGTTTTTGACTCTGATTCTCAAAATGAGCATGAATCTCCTAAAACTATAACTAGTGATTATGATTTGCCTATAGCCATTAGGAAAGGAACCAAAGAATGTACCAAGCATCCACTATACCCAATATTTAATTTTGTGTCATTTGAAAAATTCTCACCATCCCACAAAAATTTTCTTGTGAGCCTAAACACTATTTCTATTCCAACTACATTATCCGAGGCATTATCCAGTGAGAAATGGAGGCAAGCCATGAAAATAGAAATGGAGGCCTTAGAGAAAAATCAGACATGGGAACTGGTAGAGTTGCCTAAAGGAAAAAATTCAGTGGGGTGTAAATGGGTTTTCACTGTAAAATACAAGGCAGATGGTACTGTTGAAAGGTATAAAGCCAGGTTAGTGGCTAAGGGTTACACTCAGACCTATGGAATGGATTATCAGGAAACCTTTGCTCCAGTTGCCAAGATGAATACAGTTAGGATTTTGTTATCATTGGCTGCAAATTACAATTGGCAGCTTCAACAATTTGATGTAAAGAATGCTTTTTTACATGGTGATTTGGAAGAAGAAATATATATGAAGGTTCCACCGGGATTTGGAGGTCATCTAGAAGCAAACAAAGTATGCAGGCTAAAAAAGGCTTTATATGGCCTTAAACAGTCTCCTAGAACTTGGTTCAGGAGATTTGCCAAAGTGATGCTAGCAATGGGATATAAATAGAGTCAAGGAGATCACACATTGTTTATCAAGCACTTTGATTCAGGGAGAGTCACAGTTCTATTAGTGTATGTTGATGATATAATTGTAACTGGTGATGATGAAAAAGAGAGAGAATCTCTAAAACAGTGTTTGGCTAGAGAATTTGAGATAAAAGAGCTTGGGAGATTGAAGTACTTCCTAGGAATTGAAGTAGCTCACTCACGGCATGGTATTTTTATCTCACAACAGAAATATGTGATGGATCTTCTGAAGGAAACTGGGAAGCTTGCATGTAAACCTGCAAATACCTCTATAGATCCTAATCATAAAATTGGAGAAGCTAATGAAGATGCTGCTGTAAATAGAGAGATGTACCAAAGATTAGTTGGAAGACTCATTTATCTCTCACATACTAGACCTGATATAGCATATGCTATGAGTGTGGTAAGTCAATTTATGCATAGTCCTAAAGAAGTGCACCTATAGGCTGTCTACCGTATATTGCACTATTTGAAGGCCAATCCTGGGAGAGCTATCTTATTTCAAAAGAGATTCGGGGTTAGTTCTAGAAGCATATACAGATGCTGATTATGCAGGTTCAATAACTGATAGAAGATCTACCTCAAGCTACTGTTACTTTCTTAGGTGGTAATCTTGTGACTTGAAGGAGTAAAAAACAGAATGTGGTGGCAAGATCAAGTGCTGAAGCAGAGTTCAGAGCAATGGCTCAAGGAATTTGTGAACTACTATGGTTAAAGATTATCCTAGAAGACTTGAAGATCAAGTGGGATGGACCAATGAGACTCTACTGTGATAACAAGTCTGCAATAAGCATTGCACACAATCCTGTGCAACATGACAGAACAAAACACATTGAAGTAGACCGGCATTTCATAGAGAAACTAGACAGTGAGTTGATTTGTACACCTTATGTATCAACCAAGGGTCAACTTGCAGATGTGTTGACTAAAGGTCTCAGCAGTGCAACATTTCAAGAAATTATTTCCAAGCTAGGAATGGAAAACACCTATTCACCAGCTTGAGGGGGAGTGTGAGAAAACACTTATTTACAGCTGGTTGTAATCTTGTAATCTGTATATTTATATTTGTATCTCTAGAATTAAGAATTTATATCCCTAGAATTAAGGAAGATTTAGTTTCCTAGTTTAACGCCTAGTTTAACCCCTAGTTAGTTGTATATAAACCTAAGATTCTTGTATAATTGAAAAGAAGCAGTTTTTCAATATACATTCAATTTCCACAGTAATGCTTCTAGTACTATCAGATTTTGATAAGCTATTCATTGTGCGGTGTGATACATCACATTTTAAAATTGGACTTGTTCTTAGTCCTGAGGGGAGATGATAGTGGATCAAGGGAATGATATGAGAAGAAACCCTTAATCACGCACCCACAAATAATTGTTATGCTCACTGCTTTGGGGATTCAGATACACCACTTCAAAGATACAAGACAAGGTAGCGCCACACTCTAGGGATACAAAAATCACAACCCTAAATAAAAGAGTTCAAGAAAGTTCACGACTCTAAGGAAATCCATCCAAGAGATACAAACCTTAAATAGAGAAAACTAAAAGGTTTATTTTACTCAAATTACACTCCCAATTACAGTACATTATGGGATATTTTGCTCTAAGAATAGAAAAAACCTAAGTAAATGTGCAAACATAATTATATTGCTATGAATTATTGTGGACAGATATTCTAAAAGCTGATACGATTCTTGTAGTGCTAGAATAACATTATTGAAGATCATTACTTCCAACAACAATTATGGCACCTTCATAAAAAGGACATTGAATCCTGAATTTCCTCATCTTCATAAAATGGAGAATAGTCAAAAGTATTGAAGGCGTTTGAAACTACATAATCTCCTTGTAGCTCAATTTTGTAAGCATTTTCCAAAATACACTGGTTAACTCTAAATGGTCCAGCTGCTTGTGGCAAAAGCTTAGAATGATTCCTGCAAAGTAACCTCTCTTCCCTCAAATGAATCCAGGAAGTCTATGCTGAAGCTACCAAAGTTCTCACTACTGAGGAGGTCATTTTGTCAACCTGAGGAGATTGATGCAGGAGCAACCCCAAAAGTTATCTAAATTAGTTATTTTGATATGCTCTTTTATTTTTGTCATTGTAATCTGGTCTGTGGTAAGTAATTAAGCTTTTATTTGAGTGAGTGGTCATGTGACCAGCATGTAATCTTTTAATGAGTTTAAATGGTTAGGATTAAATGTGGTTTATATATATCCAAGGGCCACAATGAAAAACTACTATAATACTAGCATAAATAGTCTTTTAGACATATTATGTAGTAATATTTTTGTTGAATATGATTTGCTAAGTAGTTTTACAATTTGACCTTACATTAATTTTAGCTTCTTTTCTGTTTTCTTTCAATGTTTTGGTTTTATTTTTATTGTTTCTAATCCCACAGTGCACCACATCTCATAATGCCAGAAAAATTCAGTTTGTGCTCCTGTTTGCCTGTTGATATATTGACCACTTAAGTAGAAAATAACTCAAGCAAAAGCAAGTTTGTTCTGATTTACTCAGTCAGGTATAAGAAAAGTGCCTTCGCATTTAGCTTTCCTTGCTGCTTGCAACATGGCAATATACATCTTGTTATAAATGTTAAAAAATCATATTATAGAGAAAACATTTGTGATAAGGGAAATTTTACTGATCAGATTAGGGCATTTAAAAGTCAAAACCATATATCAAGGTTATGAGTATCTGGCTAAAGTATTTCATTCATTTTCTGCAGGGTTCTTGAATGTTGCACCTAAGTTGCTCACAATCCCTTACCATCATGACGAAACTCTCGTCCAAGGACATAACATTAATTAAGTCTTCCTCTTATACTTACAGCACCACTGCTGAAACAGACCTGATCTTTAAAATGTCAAAGATCAATAAATCTGATCCAAGAGCAGTTAATATTCATTCAGAAGCAGTTATTTAGACACTCTAATATTTCAAGGAACAAAAGAATAGACTCCTCTTCTAGATTAAATCATTTAACAACTGATGCAGACCAACTAAGCATGAGCACACATCCCTGAATTAAGGAGATATTTTCCCATAACACCAACCTTCTCTGACAACATATATTTCATTGAAAATCTCCCATTCATGAATAAGCACAGATTTAAACTTCGTTCGTGCAATTGCCCTCAACACACAACCAAATCCCTCTTTCAAATTCCAATAAAAAAGCTTATCATTATCAACTTCATAAAAAGAGATAATGAGCAAAGCAGGAAAGCATCCAGGACCAGATGTCAGTAAAATATCTAACTTAAGCCCAAACATTCAATTTTATTTAAACAGTAATTAAGCTAAAATATTAATTTAAGAAAAAAATCAATTGACCTTTTGCTTTTGTTTTATAGCATCTTCATAGGAAATTAAAAACAATAACTAGCAACAGCAACAATGAAACCAAGCCTCAAATCACCAACAGCAAGCAATTACGAAAAGTTGTAAAAAAATTAAATAAAAAGAAAATTAGGTTTGATTTCGTTGATACCAGCTCTATCTTCGCTGCACGTTTTACTGAAGTCCTGTTGTCGATTTCCTTTGACATCATCATCAACGGCAGCGAAACAAACGGCTCTACCAAAACCTTTCCTGCTCCGCAAAGCAGCGAATTCTAACTTGCGTCTCCTTGAATGGCTGAATTTAAGAGAGTTGAGCTTGAGCTGAGTCCTGGCTGACTGGACGAGTTTGAAGCAGCTTTTGCTGAGCTGCAAATGGGAGATTAGAGCAGCGCTGCTGCTTGTGCTTCCCATCTCTCTTTCTCCCTGTTTTCGTTTGCTTTTTCTATTTTTTAATACTACTAATTTCAGCTTTGATCTTAAATTTCTGTATTTTCTACTATAAAGTTTTTGAAAATGAAAAATGGGATTCCTTATAATATAATTTATCCTAATAAATAATATTATTAGCATTATTACTATTATTTTGTGTTTTTGGTCTTCTGAACGGTTGGGCTTTGCTCGGACATCGCTGATATTTTCTGCTCAGAAAGAGACGGCTTCGGCGCATTTTAGCAGAGATGCCTGGAGAAAATTCCATTGAGCGCTCGTGGATAGGATTTCATACTCATTTTCATTTCACAAGAACATCCTTCCGGTGATAAAAGATACTTCTCTCGTATCATATTTGATACATAAAAATATGATATGATAAAATAAAATAATATAATATAATAAATTAAATTAAATAATATTATTTTATTTTATATTTGATATATATAAAAATTAAAATAAAATTATTTATTTATTTATTAAAATTATATTTTTTTAAAATTTATATAATTTAAATTATTAATATAATTTTTAAAAATATAATTAAACATATATGTTTAATTCAATAAATTAAAAATATTCCTTCCCACTTAAAGGAGAATTAAATAATCATATATTAAGAAAATTTAATTTACCTTATAATCTATATTTTTCTCTTTAAATATAAATTAAATAAAATATAAATTAATTATTATCTTATTTTATCAATATTCTCGTACATCAAATAAGTATAGTTGAGTTTAGGCTCTCCCTGCTGGGATCACTTTCACTTAATGGGCTGAATCCTAAAGTCCATTTTTATGATGGGCTAATTTTGACATGAAGCAAAAAAAAACACATTAAATTAGAGCCCAATTACCAAATATTAAGCCCCACCAAGAAAGTCCAAATTCTCACACTAAAATCCCAAATCTCTTGTTTGTGGTAAAAAAGACACACTGATGTCTACCGCAGTAAAAAAAAAAAAAAAATCACTAATGTCTACTACATAAAAGGCTCATTAATGTCCATCGCAGTAAACGACTCTCTAATGTCTACCATAGTAAATGACTCTATTGTTTGCCGTAGTAAATGACTCACTAATATCTACAACTGTAAATGACTCTTTCAATGTTTATCATCGTAAAAAGCACCCTAATCTCTACGACAGAAAATAACACTTTAATCTCAAACCCTTTTGTCCACGGTAAATAGAAAACATAATATCTCATACATTTACTGTCATGCCTTTCGCGGTAAACATAATGTTTCATACACTTATTGCCATACCTTCTGCGGTAAACATGATGTTCCATACACTTACCGCTAACATTGTGTGTTTAAATGGCAGCTTCTGCATTATCTATGAAGTGGTGGGCCCACAACAATGACTCCTCCCCGACCCACAATGATAGTGGCCCTTGTTCCCTAATCCGATGGCATGGCAATACTAGTTAACGTGAGCTCCACCACTTCATTACCTTATTCATCTCTTCTATAGACAGCCGTAACAACGGTGGTTATCATTACTCTTATTTCACCATAATATGTGTTAGCGACTATCAACGTTTCAGCAGAAGAACTAATATTATTTAGTAATTATAATTTTGAGATGAAGCATACATTTCATTAATAAAAGCCAATAAGCATGTTTATTAAACTAATGAGTTTCAGTAGGAATCATATCATGTATAAAATGTGTACACCTTTATTGCGTGTGAATGCATATACCAAGTGTCACCGCTAAAAAAGGCTAAAAGGACATAGATGACTATTTCAAAGCTTCATTCCCAGCCAATTATGCTATTAAATCCCGCTCCGCACCCAGATATGTCCTTTTCTTTCTTATTTATCTCTTTTTTAGTTATTTTCTCTTTATTTTTTTTGTTTATTTATTTATTTATTTATCATTTTTAATTCATATTTCATCACCAACTTTTTATTTTCTTATCGGTCAAAACGTGGCCCAAGTACACGTAACGGGATCTTAACCATGGGAATGTGGTTTGGTTGGCACTAAAATGGTTAGCGGTGTCCTTAGTGCCCTTTTGTACTTCTAAGTTTTGCTTGGAAAGCCTATGAACGACCATTGGGATGTGCAAAGGGAGTTGGAAGATTAATTAACCTAACGAGATTCTCTAACCATATGATTACAGAATCTCATTTGTTAACCTCTATAATGCATTATTGAAGATCGAACCAACGACGGCCGTAACAGAAAATATCCGCGGGTTATTGATGCTAATGTTAAGACGACACTACGACCAAATGAAAGCTTCAGCCTATGAACCACTTTGTATATGTCAGATGCCGCTGTCAAGATATTCTTGTCATGAATGACTATTTTCAGTTGATGGATAATAGTGTTGCCTCCACTAGCTACTGTATTAAGAGTATTTCAACTGGATAATCCCTTCTTTCAAAAACGAATTTAAATATGGGACATCTTATGAAGCATGCACACACTACAAAGAGATCTATAACCACAATTACTCTGTTTCACAACATTTAAGTTCATATATTAATTAGGCTATTTACTTTCCCTCTCACGCAACCAGCAATTTTTTCTCTTCCAAACCATCCAACATTCCTTCTGCTGTGTATCTATTTTGTTCACCATTAATGAAGATTCTTTATTCCTTTATTAATTGCTCCATTTTACATTCCAAAGAATAGAGTATAAGTAAATTTTATTTCTCTCCTCTCCAAAGCTTATCCACTTGCTGCAAGCACAAATTCAACCTCGTATCAAACCACCATCTAAAGGGTTCAATACTTCTCAACCATATTTGATCATTTTAGGTTGAGTTATTTTGTAGATTTGCTTAGGACCCAATAAGGGAGGTATTAGGCCGATTCTCTTTTTGTTTGCAAAACGAAGCCCACCAATCTTTAGAGGTTTGATGTCAATTATATTTATACCTGATAAAGAATTTAATGTTTTATCTGAATAAGGATGAGATGAATATTATATTATAAAAATATATATGATGATCATTTTAAATTTTTTTTATCAAAAATAGGGATGGATACAGGTAATATAGCACCTATCTTATTCCAATATATTTATAAAAAACAAAACTAATAAATGTACAAAATAAAAATAAAAATAAATTGTTTATATTTAAAAAAAAAACTATAAGTATAAAAATTATCCATACTCATTAAATACTCACTAGAATGAGAATAGATTTAAAACACCTATTAGGTATGGATATGAAAATAAATATGATATTATAAAAATCTTGAGATAGGAAGAGGGAGTATTTTACCCGTCTCATATTCTACTCATTGACATCTCTATTTCATTTTATTGCAATCCATCTTGCTTGTCACATCATATGCATTGAAAAACTCCCTAATAACTTTTAATATGACTAACTTCAAATGATAACACGCAATGAATAAATAATTTTTTAAATATTATATTAATTAATATATTTATAATTCAAATATGACATTATAAATTTTTAAAATTTAAATATCACATTAAATATTTTATTACAGTTTAAAAATTATTAATGATATTTACCCAATATAAAATATTCTAAATATTTTAAATAGTAACACGTCTAAATGGGCAACTCTTACTTTAAACAAGGTTTTGAAAGTATCAATCAAGTCTAACCGTACTATGAACACCTTTAATAATATATTTATGTAATAATTCTTCTGGAACAGTGTTTTGGAAGTGGAAAATGAAATAAAAAAAAAAAGGCAAGTTTAAATAGAAATTTTCCCGAAGGGGTGAAGTAAAAAACCATTCGGATCATTAGCTGTCAGACCTGTGCATTCAATAGTTTTCTTTATCAATAGTTTTTTCCTGAAATTTTTGCTTCTCTCCTTTTTAATCAGCAGTCATATCGTAATAGATTTTGATAAAGATGAGAAAACTGCCAGACTAATTTTGAAATCAAATTATTTGTAAGAATATATTTTCATCGACTAAGTCTCATCAAAGAATCAATTTCTGCGCTGCAAGGACATGAATTCATAAACACAACTAAAAAAATTTACTGAATTACTTACTTTAGAACATTGAGAAATTTTACAAAAGTTTTATTGCCTGAGCTTTGTGTAAAAAAAAAAAAAAAAACCAATCATATATTGTCTTAAGAGACTGAAATCTAATAATCAGGGCATACATACAATTTCATTTATCTATGTTGGTTATAGGACCTGTAAACCAATGTCGAGCACTAACGATCCAAGAAGCAATGGTAAGAACGAGCAAACCACAAACAGCAACGGGAGTGTAGTTGAGTGTCTGAGGGGTGATTGGATAGGCAACAGGCAATGAGAAGAGGACTGATATCGTTGCCACCCATATGACTGCAATCCAACCAACCAAGACCCCATAGCGGCCCAGGTTGAAGGGTCCTGGGATGAAGGATTTTCGAGCCAAGGTCACCCTAAAGAATATTGGTAGGGCATAAGCAATGTAAAGTCCAATAGTTGCAATAGATACCATGGCCTGAAATGCCACCAAGCTTCCAAGAGACTGCAAGAGATTGAGAACAAAAAGGCTACATTATTTGCAGTTAAAGAAGAATGCTAAATAGATTTCAATGGTCATAGTTGCATTTGTTAGTTTGACCAACATCAGATTGAAATAATAATGGCCTTACAAATGTTAATTGGAAAAGGTAAAAAGCCAAAAAAAAAAAAAATGGATGTCCTCTAAAACTGTTATTCAACAGATGAAACCAAAAAAGAAAACCCAGTCCAACATTCCATTGAGAAAGTAGCTCTCACCAAATTTAATGTCCAAATTAGGACACCTTTTCTTCAATGTTTAAAGTAAAGTTTCCACAAATGGGGTGGAGATGACACTACGTAAGGAACCTGGATTCCCTGTCTTGCTGACAAATTAATGCACTTTATGTACGTACGAATGAAAAAAATTACTTGTGTGTTCCATCCATCAACCTTTATTGATATCCACTAAACCAGTTCAAAAAAAGTTTTACCACTCCAACGAAACAAAAAGGATACATTTGTATAGAATTTTCAGATGGTTAGATGTGCATACCGTGAGTGCCATACAAAATGAGATAAATGCAGAAAGCCAAACTGCATTTATAGGAACCTCCTGCTGGTTCACTTTATGCCACCAACGTGACAATGGCATGGCCCCGTCTCTTGAGAATGCATACGCCATCCTGAGAACAGACATATAGTGCAAGTGAGTTGCAACTTGACAGGTAAGAACATCCAGGTGATTTGTCTTACAAGAACATAAGAAAACCTGTGTACCTTGAGTTGCTAGTTACGGAACTCATACCACAAAAAAATATAGCAATTGCAACTACTCCCAAGCAAATAATTCCTCCAACGCCGTTGCCATATCTATCCTTAAATGCTAGGTAAAATATTTCAGCAATAGCATAACCTCCAGCATCATTATCTTCACTCAAAAGAAATGGGATGTTGGTAACTGCAAAGGTGATGCCAAGTAGGTAACCCCATCCAAAAATAATAGATATCCCAATGGAACTAATTATTCCTTTTGGTCCATTCTTATCAGCGCTCTTGGTTTCCTCTGTCTATAAATGGAAGTTTAAAATAAACAACATGATTTAGTTTCGCTTGTCAGATTGTAAGTATTCCATAAGCCAGAAGTGAAAAAAGAATTAGACTCAAAAGCCAATCTAATGAAAGTATAATTTCACTTTAAATTGGTGAAATTTTGAGCTTGTTAATGTTTCAGAAGGGAGAACTCAAGAAATAGCATGCTCTTAAGATTCATCCGATTAAGTTTCAAAGAACTGTGTAATTATTATATGGCACCAGATTAAGTTAAGCTTGATAAAATTTATCTTTATGAAGAGAAAAAAAGGGAAGTTTGAAAACCTTTGTTGCCCTGGTTCTCCACTGCTTTAAAGTTGGGTTCGATTGAGAAGGAAATGAAAGAAAGACAAAAGCTTACCATATGAGCAGACGCATCATATCCAGTAAGGGTATACTGACTCATAAGAAGCCCAAGAACAAAAATATAGACTTTACTGTTTATTCCATCCCCATTATCTGTGTTGAAATGAGTGAACACAAACTTGGCACTAGCCCTCTCTGTTGCAACTGAGGGAATGAGGATCATAAGAAGAAGAACACCTAGATGCAAATAATTGTTAGTTGAAAAAAGGGGATCACTTGAGCCAAAAAGCAAGTTAGCCCTGATGTCTTCATACCTAGAAGATTCCATGCAGCAGCCAGCTGTCCAAAGAAAGATAAAACTGAAATGGGAAGACTGTTTATTATAGCATGCATCAGTAGGATTGCCCCATGAAAAGCCATGACAACATATTTAGACGCCTCATATCCACCACCGTTTTTTCCACCTGTACTAAGGAGAATTATCACCTGAATCAGTTGTGCAAGTGAGAAATCTACACTTGTTGTAACAGCCCACTGCAAATGAAAAGGCAGTTTTTGTTGTTAGAACATATTATGGTGTTCAGATCTAATCCAAAACTAGATTGGCCTTTAAGTGATGTATCAGATGAAATCAAATCCAAGGATATCACAACTCAAAGACACACCTGACCAACAATATTCAACCTGCCAGAAAAAATAAATGAACTGCATTAGATGCAATTAAGGGAGACCAAATTGGCTACCTCTTATGATTATACTAGAGTAGAAATGTGTACGTCTATGCATGCTCTAGAACACCAATGAGATAAAATCTTACTGAGTACCGAGAGTCAGGGACAATCCCATATTATAGAAGGGGAAAGCGAAAAAGAAGAGCTGGTTAGTACAAATAAATATACAATAATCCTATTTACCATGCGGAGTTTCACCAGAATCTACAAAAGAGAGTGTTCTAATATATTTGGACTGAAGCACCAAAGCAAAATTGTTTCCCGTGGTCTCAGGAGTGAGGTAGGGCATGAGCATGTCAGGTACTGCGGTTGAATTATACTGATGGGAATCAAAGGGAAATTAAAATCCTACATCAAGTTGATTTAGCTTATGCAAAGAACATGTAGCACAGAGGGCACACAAACATAATGGCCTAAACTTTGGGGCTTAAAGCAGTGCCAAATATATTTATAATGGGCCTCGCATGCAGAATTGGAGAGCTCTAGAACTACCAATACATGCTCAAAGGAAGTTTAATCAATGATTGATCTGGTGGAAATCCAGTATTTTGGAGCTATACCCTGATATATATATATATATATATATATATTGAATAGAAGCAGGTTGGTTCACACATACATCACTGCCTAAAGGTGCAAATATTAAAGCAACCAAAATAGTTGCCCAGCTACACTAAGAACCAATATAAAGAAAGTAAGAGACTTCTGAAGGATGTTCCAATTGTCTGAGCTACAGGTTTCTGATTAGAAGTGGAGGATTGAGGTAATTACAAGAATGAAGTATGATAAATCTGGAACCATTCCAAATTTTCTACACTTTGACAAAGAACATATTCCTTTTCACAAGCTTGCAACAAAAATAGAAGAATAATGTGATAGTGTTTGACAAACAAATTAGAATTGAGAAGATCAATACTAATAAATAGCTGTAGCACCTTGCCCCCTTTCATTGTTGTTCTCGATCTGCATCCCCACAACATTCGTAAGGGTACTTAATTTAGGCATTCATCTCAGCTTAAACTATTTCTACTTGTTTTTACTGTAGCAATTAACCCCAGACTCGTTAGCTGATACTTTTCACGAGAAACTTTTATATTATCTAATTAGCTCCCAATCTCATGGAAGTGAGTGTAGACGTTAATTAAAATAGCCAAAATGAAAAAATAATAATTACCAGCCTGTAAGCCAAGAGGCAAGCGGTGCCCAATTTGGACCAGCAAGCTTAGCACTCCAATAATAAAGACCACCAGAAGTTGGGTAAGAGGAACAGATCTCAGCCATTGATAACCCAACAATCATGGTGAAACCACCCGCTATAAACCAACCATAAACCAAAGAGACAGTTCCACCAAAATTCAAGCCAGTTTTGTAGACTGTGGTGATACCAGTGAGCACTGATATGATCGAAAATGAAAACGCAAAATTTGAAAACATCCTGCAAAATTTTTTAAAACCAAAAAACAAATATATATATATATATATATATTTACACTCTTCAGTTCACAGCCAACCAAATTGAAGAAGAAAAGGAAAGGGTAGGTAAGGAATTTTACGAGAGATCACGCTTGAGCTCTTGTTTGTAGCCAAGCTCTGCGAGACGGGACTGGCCTGAATCAACCAAAACGCTTCCATTTTCAAGTGTATGAGATGGAAGAGCCATTATTTTACTGCCCGAAACTATGTTTAGAAGTCCCAAAAGAAAGAGATTGGTTTGTGGGTGTTTTCTCTGGATCTCTCTGTTCCCTTCCTTTCTGGACAGGACACCTCTCTGTATCTCTAACCTTTTATTTATTTATTTATTTATCAAAGAAACAGATGCTGTGAAAGAAAGGCAATCACCTCTCTGATCAAAGGAAAAGGACTTGTTTCTTTTGAAGACAAATTTGTCAGCAAGCTTTGTGTTGTGAATGGTTATCAGTGGTCAAAGTAATGCGCCAGTTTTGGTTGGCTTAACGCTTTGAGATTTTTCCCATTCCACCTGTATGTTTGACTTTGGATTCAGGTCGGGGTGATGATGCGCTGGATGGGATGGCCCAAGCTGTAAGTAACAGCAGAATCTCATTGCTTCCAGATTTTTACAATATTTGATACGGGAAATAGGAGTACCAGATTTGAATATACGGTTGAAAGTAATCTAATGCATAGCCAAAACAATCGAAAGGCAAAATGCGTGGACTGGATTGGATGGACCATTTGTCCCAGTTCCTCTAACCACAGCTATGTTTTTTTTAGGTATATGTATATTCTTATTTTTTCTTAAAAATTAATTTCAATCTATTTTTTCTTCTTATTTTATATCATGATCCGAAAGGACAAAATCAACTTCTTATGCATATAAATAAAATTAGAAAAAAACTCATATAAAAATGCTTGAATATAAAAGTTAAAGATTCCAAATCCTTCTCTTTTAATATTGATATTGGAATTATCATTCTGTCTCTGGAGAAAGAAAAAACTAATCAGACTAGTGGGAAATGTTTTTTTAACAATAAAACTAATAATGATTAAAAGGGGTATCTTTTAAAACACAGAATAGAGGATGGAAAGTGTAAATAGAAACTACCAAAAGAAAAAGAAAAGGGTAAATTCGCACGTGTGAAACGCTTTATTTTTTGGCTAACAATTTGACGCAGACATGACGTTATGCTGCCAAAACGTAGCCTAATCTCCAAATGATATTCTTGCCAAAGATGATGGGCTCCGTCCCCGACTTTTATTGCTATTATTTATTATTATTATTATTATTAAAACTGCATGATCCTCTCTCTATTATTAAAATAAATAAATATTTATTAAAACATATAAATATAACAAAAATGTTATTCTTTATTACTTTTTTTTATTTAATTTAATTTAATATAAATTCATTTTAATGAGTATTAATTACTTTCAAATTAATTAATTAATATTATTATTAATGAGGATGTTCCCAACCAAGGATCTTACTTATAATCAAGTACCCAAAAATTAAATATTTATCTCAATTAATGAATGCCCACTATGAACTCAATAAATGTCTGCAATATCGATTTGTGTGGAAACGGGCCATCACATGGCAAAACTAGAAAATGACGCGTGCAGTGCAAGGCTACAAAATTTTAACTTGATTTTCCATGCATTTCAATGTGAAGTAAGCTCAAGAATTGATTATTTTTCCATGGTGGATCTTGGATAATGAGTTAAATTATGCAATTTCGGATCTGAATCTTTGACTGCCACAATACATGAGCTGGCATGTTAAATTTGTAAGACAATTTTTTAGTAACATTAAATAACTCTCTTTAATAGCTACCCACGAAGAAGTATCTGTATAATTGTTGTTCAGAATAGTTTTTATATTAAAAGTTTCTTTTGATCTAAAGACAATGTTAAATAATAAAAAAAATTTTGACTTTTTAATGTAAAAGTTTAGTTTTTTTATTTAAATTAAAAAATTCATTCAAATGTGCTTTTGTGATAACAAAAAAAAAAAAAAATCGTTTGGGTAAAAATCACTTTGTTATCTTATATTCTTAATATCTTATTATTTTATAAGTTTTTCTAGACATTACAATTATTCACATTACATTTTCATAATAATAACAAATACTTAAAATTTGTCGTCATATTTTTCTCATTATTTTTTTAAATGGACTTTTTTGTAATTAAAATTTTTTTTTAATCGCAAACCCTTAATCAAGTTAGTAAGTAAAATTTTTCCTTTTTTGTTAATCAAATTCAATTATTGTAGGGATATTTTGGGAATATTTTGGAAGTCAAATTTTAAATGCCTTAAATTTGTATAAAAAGTGCGCTTTTAAGACCTGCTTGAAAAGTAAATTAAACGTAGGCAATGCCAAGGAATACCCCTCATCATATTATCTAAAAAATACATATTTTCCCATTTCCATCCGTAATTGGTATGTAGAGATAGCAAAATTTTTTCGAATTTCAAAAACTAAGTTCACGATTGAATCCATTCAATCAAATACTTTGGAATAAATACTAATTTCTCAAATGTGAGAAAATTTGAACTCAAAATAATAAGAAAAGAAGTTGATATGAACCCGAACTTGAAGCAATTCAAACTCTAAATAATCTAAAACTACGACGACCTAATTTTGAGACAAATTTAATCCAAAACTTGTAAAACTTGTATTTTAACTTAAAAGACTTGAATTATAATTATCTTGAGATTGATTGAATTCAAAACGTATGAGCCTAATACGGTTGAAATTCGAAATCATCTAAACCCAAGACATCTCTACGTATAAAAGTTTAAACCTAAAACAACTATAACACAAAAGAGTGCAAAACTATGAATGAATTGATGTCCTTGCATAAGCCATCCTAATTGCTTGCACTTAGCTGTGCTATAAAACCTTTCCTCATTTGCTACAATGATGGCCAATGGTTCAATATACATTCGTTCAACACCCTTTTTAGCCCATTTTTAGCCCTTTTGTTTTTCATGTGAAATATTAACTGACGTTATTACATGGTACTATATAATATTTATTGTCAATTTAGACAATTTTATAAATAAAATGACCAAAATATAATAATTTTGAGTAATTAGGGATCCGATCAAACTTTTTTAAAATTTAATGACCAAAATAAAATATTTGATCAAATTTTTAGTATTATGAGTGCTATTAAATATTCACCTCTTAAATGGTACTTTCTAATCGAATCCTTAATTATTCAAAGTTTTTTTATTTTTATTTTTTCATCTATGAAATCATCTAAATTGACAATAAATATTAGCCAACACCACATGATCACATCAACTACTATCTCATACGGCAAATATAGACTAAATAAAATTCTCTTAAAATTTAAGGGCCAAAGACAAAATTATCTTAAAACTTTATATATTTCATATATATCTTATAAAATATATTAAATTTAAAATTATATTTGTATTTTTTTATTATAATATAACTTATTAGATGGATTTTTATTTTAAATAAAAAATAGATATTCAAAACTTAAAATTAAATTAAAATTTTTAAATTCCTTTTTTAAAAATTTAATACATTTAAAAAAATATAAAAAAAATTATTTTACTCATAAGTCATAATATCTATCTAAAAATTTATTTTTTAAAATATTAAATATCTTTAATTTTTCCTTTTTAAATATATTTTATAAAATATGTTTTATAAAAAAGAAAAAAGAAAAAATATTTTAAATTATGTTTTTTATTTTATATGAATATAAAGTTTTTATAATTTTGAATAGATTAATAAATCTATTTTTCAAAATAATTTGAAAAATTTTACATAATATTTTAATATGATATAGACTTTTTATTTAATTTCTTAAACCAATATAAAATTTTTACTTAATTTGTTAAAATGACATGTAATTTTAACAAAATTATTTTAAAAATTTCAACTTAATTTTAATTTTTAAAAATTTATTTTCTATTAAAAATATTATTTTATTGGTAAATCATATCATAATAAAATTAAAAAATATTTTAAATTATAATATTTTATAAAATATATTTGAAATATATAAAAATTAATTTTTCTTGAAATATTTTTATCTTTTCCTTTATTTATTTTTTATAAAATATATTAGAAAAAGGAAAATAAAAGATAGTTATTATTTTATAAGATATATTTTATGGATAGAAAATAGTATTTTTATTATGATTTATGAGTAAACTAATATTTTTAATAGAAAATAGATTTTTTTGTTTTTAAAATGATATTGAATTTTAAAAAATATTTAAAATTTTAACTTAATTATAATTTTTAAAAAACTATTTTCTATTAAAAAAATATATAACTAATAAATTATATTACAACAAAAAAATTTTAATTTAATATTTTATAAAATATATATGAAATTTATAAAATTTTGAAATAGTTTTATCTTTGATTCTTAAATTTTGAGAGAATTCTATTTTAATCTCTCGATATACTAGCTGATGTCATCATATTGTGCTAATTGATATTTACCATCAATTTAAATGGTTTCATAGACGAAATAACTAAAATATAACAATTTTAAATAATTAAGGATTCATTAGAATATTTTAAAATTAGAAACCAAAATAAATTTTTTATTAAAGTTTAAGAATTACGAGTGTTGAACTCCAATAATAAATATATGTATTATCAAATCTATCTTTTATCTCAAAATAACAAAAGACATCATAGAACATTCTTCTGTCCAAGAGAAATAACTTTAAAGACTAGCTAGTGCTTGAAATGGTCTATGTTTTGAGCGAGGTTTTGTTCAAGAAGAGGCCTGTACATGAACAGTGAGTGAAGTTTGAATCGTTTTGTCAATAGCAGATTGAAATTGCATTATAATTGAAGGGGTGGTAGTTTTTCCATTTTTTTTTATTTATTCCGGCTAACACATCTCAAGTCTAAATGATTATCATCTCAAGCCAAGGTACTTGAATTCTTTGAAAATTTAAAAACAAACACTTAAGCCAACAACTCCGGGGATGGCTGACCGCGAAGTAGTAAAATGCACAACAATAGCAAAGATGATCTTATTATGATCTATAGAACTACCCAAAGCTCACTATGGTCAGGACTCAGGCGGGCAGGCTAATATATGCATCATAAAAAAAGGGTACAAATCGAACCCAAGGTGGCTAGCACAAAGCGACAAACAGATCACAGCAAATGCAAGGTCGAAAGAATGGATGAAAAATCAATCGGAAAACGAGTAACTTACCAACCAGTGAACCAGGAAGCCATCGGACCCCAGTGATTGCCGCACAGCTTGGCACTCCAAAAGTATAGGCCCCCAGAAGTAGGATAAGCAGAGCAAATCTCAGCCATTGCCAGAGCCACAAACATAGTTAAGAAGCCCACGATGGGCCAGCCATATATGACTGTAACGGGCCCACCAAAGGTCAATCCTGTACCATACGTTGTTGTCAATCCTGTGATCACCGATACGATGGAGAATGTCACAGAAAAGTTTGCTATTGCCCTGCACAGTGCACACCGCAAGCCAACGTTTTTCGTTCAATCATATTTACTGAATGGATTTACTACAAAGATGATATATCCAGGGAAAAAATTTCCTTCTTTTTATAAATATATAGGACATTA